GCCCACACCCTACACCAATTTCATTTTTTGACCTGTCGGTATAAAAAACTTTATAATTGGGAAAGCTATTTAAAAATTCGCAAGAATTCTGCCCTGATTATCAGAGGTGTTTCCCTTTTGTTTAATAAGGCCAGATCTTCGATAAAGTAGGTAATGACCACGATAGAATATCTAGCGATTTAAAACCTTCATTCGCTGGCAAGGTATCCCCACCTAATACCGCGGATTCCCAAAGGTCTCGTTCTTGTTCTTAGAAAAATATACATATCTTGATGAGGGTTATGAAAAACTGAAGGAAATAGAAGATGAAGCCTAGACCAAAGCATAGCAACAAAATTGCCTCCAATCTAAAAAGATCCGAAGGAAGGACACAGGCATCATTGTAGAGACTTATAAAGGGCGTGTATAATGGGTCTCTGTTACAATCCTGATACCTTGGTAATAAATCCTATATAGCTGGATTAAAGCTGATATTCGCGCTGAATAGTAACTTGCTGCCCCGTATCTAAACTTTGCTCATAAGTACATGCTGAATATTCTTAAAAGAATGCCTCTATTCGCCCCCTAATTTTAATCAGCGATGAATCTCATCAGACCAAGCATTTTTACTTCCTGAATTAGTCAATTGGGCTATTTGAGGTTTCCATCGATTGGCTTTGCCGAAAGAACGCCAGAAAGGAAAAGCCGAGGAGTTTCATGATGTTTTCTCAGTCTACAAAAGTGTACAAATACCGTTTTGGAAACACAGAAAACAACTTTATTGTTTCTTAAACAACTAATTAAAAATAATGATTAGGCATTATCTGCTATTACAATATATATATATANTCTCTCTCTCTCTCTCTCTATCTATCTATCTCTCTCACTCTATCTCTCAAATGTTTTGTTTTTGTTTTATTATTACTAAGAAAAGTATTTTTAATTAAGATAATAATAAGTTCTATTATATTAGTTATACAATTGTCCTACATTGCAATTTTTACAGATAAAGATTGACCTATATAAATACCTATCAACCTACATTTTTTGTTTTTATCTCACTTTTTGTTTTATTGATACTTATACCCTATGTCCTACAATTTTACATTTCCAAAAAAATTTATTAGAATGTTGTCTCTCTCTATTTATTTACGTACTATCTCTGTACCTATCCACCTACCTCTATCTATCTATCTACCTATCTCTCTATCTGTCTACTTATCCCTCTATCTACCTACCTACCTATCTATCTATCTCTCTATCTCCCTACGTACCTATCTCTATCTATCTACCTCTCACTCTATCTCTCTATCTATCTATCTACCTACCTACCTACCGACGTACCTATCTATATATCTACCTACCTATCTCTCCCTCCCTCTATCTATCTATCTTTCTATATATCTCTTTACCTATCTCTATCTATCTACCTAACTATATATCTACTTCTCTCTCTACCTAACTATCACTATCTATCTACCTCACTATCTCTCTCTCTCTATCTATCTATCTATCTACCTCACTATCTGTCTATCTACCTATCTCTCTCTCTCTTTCTCTCTCTCTCTCTCCCTCTCTCACCCCCCTCTCTCTCTCTATCCATCCATCCATCTATCTTTATCTTTATATCTCTCCACTCATAAGCACGCCCACAATTAATAATTTTCCACATAAGATAAGGGTGTACAATTATTTATCCGTTCTTTGCATGAAAAAATAAAAGCACGTACTTTAAAATTGAATAAATACGCTAGTGCTTGTTATAAAACGAATTATAAACGGAATAGGAAATGTTATTTTAAAAACCAAATAAAATTTACGAATGTTAATAATATTTCCGGTTTTAAAGAGTTATTCTGCTTTTTGGGTCATTTCTAAATAAAATGTATTTATATTTTTCTCAGTAGAATTACGTAAGTAAATAATTAAATTGATAACAATTGTAATAATAATATTGTAATAATTATAAGGGAGGACTGATGACGGTTGCATAGTTCATTGCTCTTGAGTCTTGGCTCGTTTCAGTTCAGCTGGTCACGTAGAATGTTATTGACTGCCAAAAGGGGCCAAACAGCTGGTTTGCACTACCAGAACTGAAACAGTGAGCCGGAGCAGCTGAAGAAAAGGCCAAGGCCTTTGGCACAGCTAGTAACAACCGCTTCACTGGGTCAATCCTCAGTTATTACCAGGCACAAATTGAACGGGGGAAAGTTAAGACGTTCTCCACCTTCAAAACAAAGCTCAAAATTTATTTTTAGACTGAGAAAATGAAAGGTCGGTGGAAATCGGCCGATTGTACCGTTGAATTGTTTCGACCAAAACTATTGATCTTAACTCGGCTTATAGGAATAAAAGTGGGTCATTTGACCCAAAAAGGTCTTACCTGTATTTTCAATGTACCTCATGAAGACTTAGAAAATGGCCTTAAACGGTTCTTTAAATACTGAAATTGAAAAGTTTCCTATTCATTATAACATGAAAATGTTCTCTGTGCCGCGTTGTTCCAGCGGTCTTTTCCTTCGAAAGACCAAATACCTAAGATGATTCCACTATTAAAGGAGGATTTTTAAACGGGAACAGTTAAGATTCTGAAAAAGATTCATAAAAGGACTTAGAGAAAAATCCATAAACTCCCTTTTATTACATCCGGTACTAACTAATTCAGGTATGATCTTTGGACGAAAAAGACCTTTTAACAAACGAAAAATTTGGCATATATCAATTCATTATTACTTAGGACTTACTATTCAGTAACTTGTTAACATATTAAACTAGTTAACAACAATATGCAACATTTGTAAATTTTATTTGGTTTTTAAAACATTTCCTATTCCGTTTATAGTTTGTTTTATAACAGGCATTAGCTTATTTATTCACTTTTAAAGTACGTGCTTTTATTTTTTTCGTGCAAAGAACGGATCAACAATAGTAAACCCTTATCTAATGTGGAAAACTATTAATTGTGGGAGTGCTTATGAGTGAGGAGATAAAGATACATAGATAGATAAAGAGAGAGATGGAGTGAGATACGTAGTTAGATAGATAGATAGAGAGAAAGATAGAGAGAGAGAGAGAGAGAAGAGAGATAGGTAGAGAGAGATATATATGTAGAAGGGAGAGAGAGAGAGATAGATAAATAGAGAGAGATAGGTAGGTAGATAGAGAGAGCGATAGGTAGAAGGGAGGGATAGATAGGTAGAAAGAGAGGGAGGGAGAGAGATACGTGGATAGATAGATAGAGAGAGATAGGTAAGGAGTGAGTCAGAGAGAGAGAGAGATGGTTTTTTTTATTCATAATTATTTACACTACGGTCTGCAGGTTGACATTACATATTAGAGAGATAGAGAGAGTGATAGGTATAGAAAGAGATAGTGATAGATAGATAGAGAGAGATAAAGAGAGAGAGGGAGGGGGAGATAGGTAGATAGAGAGAGAGGTAGATAAAGAGATAGATAGAGTGAGAGAGATAGGTAAGGAGTGAGTAAGGGAGAGAGATGGTTTTTTTATTCATTATTACTTACGCCTCTAGGGCACTACGGTCTGCAGGTTGACATTATACATTTATTCTGGTTTATGCTCCTTTGGTGTTTACAATGTATTTCACAGTTACTACTACACACTAATTAATACGATGAGAAAAAACATTTGTTTTGTTTTTTACTAACAATTTGATCATATATTTTTTTTTTGTAAGTATAAATTTGATTGATAAAATTCCAAATTACCCGTAGGCTTTCATAAAATCATTTTTAATTTTACCAAAACCTCAACCAATTTGTATGAACTTAAACAAATATATCTTTAAATACTAGGTAGAAATAATAATTAAAACTGATGGATCTAAAATAGTCTACAGATACAACAGATTAATTTGGAAGGGATGACTATTTGAAATTTAAGTGAATTAAAAATGAAAAATCAAAGACTATTTTTTATACATCAGTTTTAATTATTAACGAATTATTATTTGTTTAAGTTAAATGGAATGGGTTGATTTTTTGGGAAACTCTAGGGTAAAATTAAAATAGATTTTGGAATTGAACTATTATTTAATATTGGTGTTTTAATTCCTTAAGGTGAGATGTAATTTTGTGCTATATAAAACTCTTTGAGAAAGTTGATCAAATGTTCTGAAGAGTTCGCCACTAACTGGTACATAAAGAACAAAATTTGCCGTATGGAAATGCAATGAAACTATAAGTCTGACTTGAAATTCATAAATCTCTCCAATATTACTGGGCTTGGTGTAATTTTAATACAACCTTGGCTAAAAAAAAAAAATAATAATAATCTGTAATTCTTGCATCTGGTAGTAACATTTTTTAACCGTGGAATAAAGTTTTTTTAATGTAAATTATCAATTATTTCGTTATTTTAATTGCCTTTATACATAGGACATAGGTACATAAAGTTATGATAAACTGATAAAGCTTTACTCAGTAGGTTTATGAAACAGACCAATGACTCATGGTAGATTTTCTTTCTAAAAATAATCGTAATTAGGTTGTATTGTTAAAACGCAAAATATGTTTTTATCGCTTTATTATTTAATTAAGCTATAAATTTTATGAATAATTTAGAACTTGTGTGTGTGAAAATACTTAAATGGAGTATTAGTGCTATCAGTTCGTTTCTGCCATTTGATAAGAACACGTATGGTTCTCTCGCGAGTTCGCGAAGTTTATTGTCAGGTTTCCGCACCGTTTCTGCTTTTTTTTTTGGTTAAATATTAAATAATATTTCACAAGACCTGATGCTATCTTCTATTTGTTCTTTTGTGCTTGTCTTATGTTTTAAGTGAGAAATGAATTTTCCCGTAAGAGAAATCATGTCTTATAAAAAAAATTCCAATATTAATAATATAATTGTTTAGATTAAAAATAAGTAAAGTGTGTCCCAAGTTTCTTCCTTGATTGACATCGAATCGGTATGTTTCGTCAGTAGGAGCACTTGTGATGAATTGTTTATTATTAAGTGAAAGTTACATTGGGCCTACTTTCATTTTACTTTCTCTCTACAGGCTAAATGACCAACATGCTCAATAGGCACACATTGGGTTTTTTGAAGATTCAAAGGTGTACATATAAAACCAGATGTGTCGAGAAGAAAAGGTTCAGAGTTCTTCCGAGACTCTCTCCGCTCAGCCTGAAAATTTTGGCCGGAGCTACGGCGGTTGGCTGTGGATACTACATGCTTAAAACCGATAAGGAAAAAAGGGCAATTAAAGTTACGTTTGGCGGCATAACAAGATTTTTCAGGTAATCTATACTTATATTTACAAAGGAGAACATTTTCTTTACAGAAATATTGAAAACAATATTATTAATCTGTGGCTTGCTTGACTCTCGCTGGCTTGTAAGATATACAATATTGGCTTTAATAGTTTACCAACCACTGCCTAGAAAACCAAGGATGATTGGAGATAATCAGGCCCACATATCACTTCACAGAACTCAAGTTCGTTAAATTTGTTGCAGATCTTCATTTATTGCCACACAGATAGCAGTAGATTATTATTGGACGCTGTTTAGAGTTCCAGAGGATTCTGAATCCTATTATAAAATTTTATCAGAAATCCATAAAAGATCTGCCGAACGGATTTTAAACGGCTGTTTGAAAAATGGCGGTCTTTATATTAAACTCGGTCAGGGGCTCATCATTATGGATCATTTGCTGCCAAAAGAATACATCCAGGGGCTTATTGTAAGTAAATTTTTTTTTCTCTTAAGATTGTGATATAAAAAATATTTATATTTAAGAAAATAAATCATAATTGCAGCCTTTACAAGATAAATGCCTAGTCCGAAATTTTTCCGAGGTTGAACAGTTGTTCAAGGAAGATTTTGGTAAGGATGTAAGCGAATTGTTTACCGAATTCAACAAAGAGCCGATCGCTGCTGCCAGCTTAGCTCAGGTTGGTTGATTTCCATCTTTTGGTACAGTTTAAATATTACAAATAAGATAATTCATTTCTAATGAATTATAATTGTGGCTTGCAAATATGCTGTTAGTGTAGAATTTTAGTTTTTCCATCAAAAATTTAAATTGTTGTGGTTGTGGAACTAAGTGACCTGAATTTCTTTGTATCGTTTTTATACATTGATAATGTAGTGGGTGATTGAAGTGGGTTAAAGATTCAATTTACATCAACTTTAAAAAAAAAAAAAAAAAAAAAAATTATACAAAATATAAAATATGTTTTGTCACAGTATATTAAAAAATGTTGAGAATAAGAGTGAAATTTTTGTGAAAATGCATTTCAAAAGTTTTCATTCTAGTCTTATTCGCCATGATTATAATTATTTTTTATATAATGTGAATTAGAATGGTTTTATACATGTTATTTGCAATGGACAATATCTTCCAAACTATTTTTGAATGAAAGCAAGAGGGCTTGGGTACAATGAGCACAATGTGTTTGGGTAAATAAACAAAAACTGCATTCTTATCATCACATTGCATATTTGGAACGACAGGAACAAAACTTTAAAGAGGCACTACATTATAAAAAGAGATGTATTGTGGGCAAAGATGTTTTATGTGTTGCCTTTTCTCTCACCAAAAAAGTGTATGCCTTTACCAATTTAATGTATGCAGCCTTGCTTACTACAAACACAACAAACAGTGCAGAAAGCGCCCATGCAGCATAATAAGCAATTTTATTCACCACATTCATTCACGTCATCATAGACATGCTGAAAGAAATTCAAACTAAAACAACATACAAGATTGCTCAATGCACATTAGAGATAACTCCATTAAAATGGGACCAAAAAAAAGTGTCCCTTCGCAATTGTACACTGGTTTCAAACAACAAACCAATCCAAAATAATAAAGAGGAAAAGTTAAGAAAGAAAACAATTTGCATAACCACTTATAATTAAGGGAAAATAAACATAACCATTTATACTAACGTAAACAAGAACATACAAATAAATTAATATAAATTGATTCTATCTAATCTTATAAATATTCTAAAAAATTGCAGACACAAATAAATCAATAAAAAAGGCTAGGAGTTCTGTTTACATTCATTATGCCAAAAGATTGATTACAATCTTTTTATGTTATATCTACGCAAAATATTATATAACTCAAAGGGTTTTAATTGTTACATTTTTGGGAATATTAATTTGTGTCGTTGAGATGAAGGAGTTGAGGACGAAATTTCTTACATTTGAATTTGGAGTAAAAAAGCATGAGCAAATTCCCTGGGGAACACGAATAGACTTGTAGTGACCAAAAGAGTTTTAAAAGTGGGTATAGACGGGATGTATAATAAGGAATTTGGTACATTAGATTTGATAAATACAAAGGTGGCTCCAGACATGTGGGATTGACCAAATGCCGAGCAAAGGTTTGCTGAATTTTTAATTACTTTCATTGTTCCATATGTAAAATGGTATGGAAAAATGCTTATCATAAATTTTCATCTATCTATTTGATTTTATTATTCCACATCATACTTTTTAAATCATGATTATTACAGGTGTTCAAAGCTAAATTGAAGACTGGTGAAGAAGTTGCTGTTAAAACCCAGTATATCGACTTGCAAGACAGATTCATCGGCGATATGATGACGCTTAAGATCTTATTAGCAATGGCTGCTAAAATTTACCCAGACTTTGACTTTGGCTGGGTGCTCAATGTGAGAACACTTGAAAATATTTGTAAGCTATATTTATGAGTACTGGGAATTTAAAAGACGATTTTGACTATTTTGTTTTTCCTTTATAAGGGATTGGTTTAATAGTTTTTATTTTTTATTCAATTTTAGGAGTTGAAAGGTACGTTATCAAAAGAACTGAATTTTTTAAATGAAGCAAAAAATGCTGAAAAATGCGCCAAAGATTTGAGCCATTTACCTTTTGTCTACATACCTAAAGTCTATTGGGACTATAGCTCATCGGTGAGTAATTTAATTTTATAATTTATTTACTTATTTATTTTTGTGTGTGTATTGTTTAATTTCAGAGGGTTTTAACCACTGAAATGATTGATGGGGAGAAAATCAGCAACAAAAAGGGCCTAAAGAAAAGAGGATTATCATTGGCTGATATAGATAGAAAATTATTTAAAACATTTTCTGAACAAATTTTTTATACTGGTTTTGTTCATGCAGACCCACATTCTGGCAATAGTAAGTTTTAATTTAATCACCCACTATTTCGTGTTTTCTAATTGATTTGTTCAGTTTTAGTTAGAAAAGGTACAGAAGGAGCACAACTTGTCATACTCGATCATGGCCTTTATGAAGATGTGCCTCCAGAAATAAGTGAATCTTTAAGAAATCTTTGGAAAGCAATGGTGCTAAACAACCATCCAGATATGAAAAAATATGCCATGGAGCTGGGAATTAAAGGTAAGGAAACACTTTTTAATCTATTAAATTTTGTAATTATTTTTTTTATATTTTTTTAATGTTGGTTATGCTCAATTCAATACTGCTTTAATTAGATTTCTTTTTGATAATAACAAATTGAGTACAAGTGACATTATTAAAAGAACGTTCTAAGGACACATCTGACATGTCAAACATATGTAGTAGTTTGTTGAAATCGTGAGGGGCGGTCAAGAATGAGGTAGTTTAGAAAAACACTCAGTCAAACAAAAACTCAGTCGCAGCTACTCTAATATCATTAATCAAATTCAATATCGATAACATACATATCATCACATCACACAAAACATATAACGTAACATATAAAACAATCGTCACACATTTCTACATAGTCTAATTCTTCAACAATTTGGCTTTCCTTTCCCTAATTATATATAGTCCCCTGTCCCTAATTATATATAGTCTATATAATCCTGAAATGATAATCAGCCTGAACCATTGCCATGATTTTCCCCCATGTTGGCTCCTTTCGCCTCAATGAAGTCGACTCATATAAAAATGTCTTTCTGTCCCAACTTCCTTCCCCACCCCTTCAAAATCCATTGTACACTATCTCACTGGCACTCTCAACACGACACACAAGAATGACACATCTACATGGAAAACAAACACTTTTGTGTGAGTTCAAATACTTTGAATCTAAAATTTTCAAGCATCGCATAAATTCATTCTTTTTTTTAAATATAAAATTTTCTAGCATTGTATAAATTCATTTTTTTCACATCCTACATGTATTTGTAAAATTTAAACAATGTTTCTAAAACCCAGACCCTGAATTACACAGAAGACAAACACTTTGAGCCCTCAAGATGATCTCAATAAAGATCAAAACGTTGGCATGATACAGAAAATTTTTTTCTAAAGCCTACGTCACACCAGACTGCACCTCAAGATCTCCAAATAATCATTTCTAGAAAGTTGCATTTGTATTTGTTTTTTTCCGTGTTTAGTACTTGTGTCAAAATGTATTTTGTGTCAAAATTAAAGTTGTGCTGTTTTTCAAAGTGGTGTGTGGCCAATGCTGTGGGATTGGTTTTTGGTGTTTTACAGTCGTAGATGTGTTTTTCCCGTTTTTCTAGATATTGCGATGTAGTTCCAATGCAGGTTGGTAGACAGTTCATACAATTAATTTTATAAATTACATCGGATTTGCAGGCTGTTGGTGTTGGGTCTTTGGAAAAAAGTGTGTGTACTGTTGTGTGGTTTTTAAAAGGTATATTAAGGTAAAAGGTAAAATGTGCTCGGCAGACGGTTTTTATCCATGCCGTTATTTTATGTTAAGGCTAGGTTTTGTTTTGTAAACATTTTTTGTACTACTACTCTACTACTAATGTGCTCTGAGGGGAGGTGCTTTTCTAAACTATCTCATTCTTGGCTGCTCCTCACTTCCACAAAATATGAAACAAGTCACTAAGAAACACTCATATGTAGTAGACTACCATCTACCTAACCCTAAGTAGAGTATGAAAAATTTTCAACCTATGATAACCAGAATAGGAGTAAAAATACGGAAATATCAGGCTACACTATTTTTTGCTAAGTTTAGACAGCATAGAAGTATCATCAAACTTGCTGCTAATTCACTCTTAATATAATATCGATATGAGGTACAAATAGTATTCTGGCGACTATCAGTCATCTCCCTTCCATCTCTTCCTGACCCTCTCCCAACTAGTTTAAACTTTAAAGATCCAGTTGTTTGATAATGCCATATTTTTGTATTGGAAGGGTTAGAAGCTGTAGCTCTTTGGTATTTGATTAGGCAAAAACAAGTAGAAGAAGAACAGAGTGAATGAAACCATGCTGCATATCATCCTGCCAGGCGTATTTATTCCGAAAGAGTATCAAACGACCGAAAATCCCAATTACCTAAAAATAGGTATCCCGTCCTGGTTGGCATCCTGTCTCCCTGTCTGAACGTAAGGGCCTGTTGGTATGTTAACTCCGTCGCCTTGATACCTGTCACATACTGATCGCCTCCTTGTGAATTGGGTCTTACTGGCACAAATATTTCAGATGATTGAAATCAACAATCTTAATTTTTATAACTACTCAGGCATTATTTTGATAAGCCACATAAATAAAAACATAGAAAACACTTTTACATCCTAATATTTTAAGAATTAATGTATTTTTTATATTATGCAAAATTATGAAATTTTTTAAATTAAATTTCTATCTACGGCCCATAAATTACCATCCAAATTTATCTAAAATAACATAACTTAATAGCATACAAACATATTTCCTTTTAGAAGCCGATTACCGCATATTCTGCATTGCTCTTGGTCAACGTTATATCCCTGCTGCAAACACGACCTCAGGCGATTCAGACATAGTCCGCAGCCTCTTTTCCCCTCAGCAAATCAAAAAGAAAATGTTAAAAATGACTAAGGAAGAAAAAATGCAATTGGAACGAGAAGTAACTGCCCTGAGGAGTAGAAGCTTTCGAATTTTTAAAGATATGCCACATAAACTTATGCTCGTCACTAGGTACATAAAGACGATCAAGTAATATGTATTTTCTTTTTAAAAGCTAGGTTTTTAATTTATATAATAAATTTAACCTATTCTGGGGCTGATCAAGGAAGAAATCTGTCGGCATTTTATTGCATATTGAATGTAGAATGATAAATGTTTGTAGTTAGATATATATGCTTATTTTGGATTGAAGGTGGAATTGTAATCTGTAATCTGTAGTTAGTTAAAAAACGATTAGCCTTGCCAACCTGAGGTCTTTTATTTTTGAAAAATTCTCTACATTGAATTTTTTAATAACAAATCACAATCATTAATCACAAACACATTGGTGTGTGCACATTTTGTTTTTTTATAACTGTCATCAATGTTTTTAATTCTGCTATTATTATTTGTGAGTGCATTGAATCGTTTTATTTTCAGAATATAAAATATTTGTTGAGATTCTGACTCAAGTGCCCCAACAAGGGTTGGACATAAAGCTTGTGCAATCACTTACACTGCAAGATTTAGACCACCTTACGAAAAGGGCTCAAAAACAATTTGACAAAATTATGGGAGTACTTAGGAAATTGCCGTCAAACATACTGTTAGTTATACGGTATGTAAATAGAAACATATAGATTGTCTTCCTTGATAAGCCATTGTTTTATTTCCTACTTTTTTTTTTTAATAATAGAAAATACGAGTACATTATTTTGTTCTTTCTTAGAAATATTAACACGATAAGGTCCATCGCAAGAGATCACGGCGACCCGATTAACAGATACAAAGAGATGGCGAGATGTGCTTCTTACGGCACTTTCGAGAAGAGAAGTGGTTCTGGGCCAATAGCTTACTTCCAATATTGGAAAGAAAGAACAGATTTTGAATTTAAATTGTGGTGAGAAATTTTTTAATTTGAAATATTTCTACTTGTATTTAATTGTTAAGGTGACCTCTCTTAATCAGTTTGTGTTTTTCTAATGTTAAAGTTGTATTCATTTTAGAATCAATAATTTTTTAAAAAGTTACATTAGCCCATTCAGTTAAGCATGACATCATTCCCAGGTGAGGTACTGATAGCATATCACGCTCATCCCTACCTGTATGCAGCTGAGAGCATGATACATCATTCTATTATCTTTACTTTTAGATTCAAATTCAGAGTAGTATGCTGTTTAAGTAATTATTTTTAGCACTACCAATACTACTTTGAATTTCAGTCTAAAAGTGAAAAGACTAGAGCGGGACATCTCACTCGCAGTAGGTGAGTAGAGGTGGGGGTGAGCATGATATGATGCCACGCTTTCCAACTCACTGGGAGAAAGCATGATCATACCACACTCAAAATCCTGAATTGGTTATACAATTAAAATTAATCTACATGATTTGTACATCTTTGTTGTAAATAATTTTTATTTTTAGGTGGGGTGGTGTAAAGAATTGGGTATTTGGAATAATGATAAAGATACTGACGTTGGGAATTTCAGATGGACAAGGTGCCAAGTTGAATGTTAGTTAATGTTTTATATTAGACTGTAATAATAAATTATATAATATACTTGTACAGCTCACAAAACAAATACATTTATTTTACTTGTAACTGGTTTTTTCCCTCTCTCTTTCCTTTAATGCTTATTTTATTCAATGAAACAATCGACAACGCAATATAATAATGAAAAACTGATGCAAGATAATTATGAAAATGTAAGGTTTTATAATAACGGTGATTGTGCAACAACAGAAACTGTTTCTCTCGTAAAATGAGCTTTATTTTGACAAGACTCATATAAATTGCATTGTTTTAATATAAAACTATTCATTGTAAAAATTTAAGCTAATTATTATAGGTAATTATATTAATATATAACAAATGTACACAACCAGTTTTGAAATAATTGTAAATACACGTTTTTTTTTTAAACTTGGGTTATTAGTTTGCTAACTGAAATGGCCAAATCAAAGTGTAATTCATATATCATTTGTATAATTGTATGCAAAGGGACATGACATAATTTAAAAAAAAATTAAAACAGATACCTTTACTTTCACAAACAAAATAAAAAATATCTATGTTGTTTTTGCTCTTATTGCCGCACGTTTACCCGTTACAGCCTGCAAATAAAAAATAAAAACAGGAATCAAAATAAAATATTACAATTTAAAAACAGGCGTATAAAATATAATCTTACCTGGAAACCAGACTTAATACTTGCTACGGAGCATCTCGAACCACATGATTCACACTGAAGGAAAAACAGTCTAGTGTCTTTTTGAAGGATAGTGTCGGGTGAGCGACATGTATGACATGTCACATATTCTTTAATATATCGCCTTAACACATTTTCTATTTGCTTCTGTTGAAATCTACCTTTAATAATCAGTTGACTGTTACCGTCGACTGAACCGCTGGTTCCGAGCTCAGACAAGAGAAAATCGAGTAAATGTTTCGGAGTTCTATGCAATCTGTAAAGCAACAAGCCAGTGATATGATATCTCAAATTTAACATAACTTAAAACTTACGTTTTGCAAATTTCAGTAAAGTTGGCAAAAGACGTCTTCTTTGTTCCTATCCTTACAACCTGCGGGGGTCTCATGACAAACTTCGCTTTCTTTCCGGCTATCATTTCAGGATTTTTATCTCTCATTATATCAAAAACTCTTGTTAGCAATTCGTCGTATGTATAATCACGGTCGGTGCCCACCCACTTTTGACTCTCATTTTCTGAAAGGAAAGAAAAAATACATGAAGGTATAACATTTTGACACTAAAAGTAAACTGTAAATGAAGGGAAAAAAGAGATTTTGTAATTTTTGCCTTACCAGGCTCTGGCTTCCTCTCATGATCGGTAGAGCATGTAAAAACAAATTTTTTGAAAATGGCTGTTGCACTAGTCACTTTCATTATCAAAAATATGCATATCATAAAGTGCTCAATTAACCGTTTAAAGAGAATTTGTAGTAATTATTATGTTCATTTTTCCTTTATCCTTTTAATTATTATTTTATAAATAATTATACATTTTATTATGACAGCCTACTGAAATTGATAAAGGCATGTATACTGTTATGGTTATTAACATTTCCCCCTGACTTACTACACCAGCTTTTAATATCAATTATTCTAAATTTTATTTAGCATTGAAATCAGTTATTAATTGAAGTTCAAATTGCAAGATTTAAACATATTATGCTCAATAAAGGAAAATGTTTTTCATTGCCTAAGAACAATTGTCGAAAAATAGTCCACAAAAGGCCCAAATTGCTCCTAGTGATGAAGATTACCATCTTCTTCTACCAATACCAATTTATTTATTTATAATTTTAAATGATGCTAAATTACTTCCTGATGGTACTGAAAGAAAAATTTTGAAACTACTTCCTCAAATAACACCAAGCAATAGGACCCTCTGGTTGTAGCTGATCAAAGTGTGTTTCTGCCTATTACAAATTTTATGGTCCATTTTTCTCATCAACAGAATCCTCTTCATTTATTCTTGTGTAAAAAAATTTTACATTTGCACAGTAAGTTGAAGAAAGTAAAAACTAATGTTTGAAGTGGAACTTCCTAACACTTGGTATGGTTTATGATGGTTAAAAATAGCAGGGCCTACTTTATGGCGAAAACTCAAATTTTGCAAATTAAATCTAGTCACGCGCCAAACAGATGTCATATTTTCTCCATTGTTGATGAAAATTGGCAATGGTGAAGAATTGGAAGAAAACAAATTAGTCTTCTTAATTGAATGTCTGTTCATTATGTCTAATGGTGAAATTGTTTATGAGTATGACTAACAACAAATTTTATATGCTGCTTTATAATGTGTAAAAAAGCATAAATGCCTTTCATAGAGTTACACCAAATGATGTCAAAACACTTTACCATGGTCAAAGCAAAGCACAATCGATGGTTAATTTACAAGAGAAATTAGGTAGGTTTGCTCTCAATCAACTATCAAACATTGGGTTGTCATTGAAGAATTTCATCAATAACAAAAAATGTTTTTCATTTTTTTTTTTTTTAGTTAATTGTCAAGAGCACACGCACAGGATTTATCAGATGGAGTTTTGCTAAAATCATATTTCTTAATCCTTTCGGAAATATGGCTGGATAAAAGAATTGTATCCCTAATTGTGACTGCATCATTCAATTCAAACCTACTTTGGTGGTAGCTGGAGGAGTTTCTATTTCTAAAAATTCCAAGAAGAGCATTCTTTTGCACTTCAAATAGAAATTAATTCATACTCCCTGTAAATAGTGCATGGCCAGTCAGATTTGTGCTGCTCAGTGCATTTTGGATGATTAATAGAACTATTTTAATAGTTGTCGAATGTATCTCCTAACCAAATTATTTCCAATATAATTAAATTTAGATAACAAACTTTATTCTACTCCAATGATGTGCTATTTAATGAATGTGTATTGATAAAGAGTTATCTAAATTGCCAATTATTTTCAGTGGCGATTTCAATGTTAATTTTGCTCCTGAGGAAGAACAATCTTTAATTGCTTTTTTCGATCTAAAATTTAATTTAAAATAAAATGTAGATACCTTAAGAAATTAGAACCAAGTACATTCATATCATATTATAGTTATCATAAGCCAATAGTCTCTTTTCTAAAATATGAGGAATCATCAATGATTATAAATTAAAATTTAAATATTGATTCCAAACCAAATATGTTTTTAAATGTGGACTTTTCAACAGGAAGTTTCACTTCTGCAGTGTGTAATGTGAGGTACAATTTTTTTGTAACAAGGTTGTATCAACCCAAAGATTCGAACTGGAATACTACCTTACAGCGATGACCACCATGTCAACATCTAAACTGTTGTGGCCACCGACAACAGCTGTGATAGTATTTCAGACAAGTGTTAACTATATATAAAAACATTTCAACATTGGGGATTATTAAAATGCCCCAAAAGGTCAACAAATCAATTTTGTCAAACATGAATTTTCTTTAAGTTTGTATATGTGGACAGATTTTTGCACCAGGAAGAAACATACCCTAATGAGCTACATACATAGCCTCCTGTTTACTGTTATTGTTCGGTGTTTTTTTTCTTTTTTTTTCTGTACCACTTTAATTTAATTGATGTCAGAGATTTTGTTAATACAAGCATTTTTTGAAAATCATTTGAGAATGGTTGTTCCAAATTAAAAACATTTACACCTTTGAGTTGGTGGGGAAAAAAAACCTTTAGAAAAATATACATTTGTAAGTACCTTGCCATTTGAAATAATTAAATTCCTACCAAAAAAAATGTCTTGGGGTTATCACAAAAAAGGCATCAATAAAAAATATACAGGGGAACGGAAGTTAAAATCACCCGCTGTGTTTATGGTTGAACAATTAATAACAACCATTTTTTTAATTGCACCACTTGTGAATTAAGCGATCAATTTGTAATTTTAATACCTTCGATGACTTATTGTGCACATCAACTTGAATGTTATCAAGGATCAAGATAATCAGGTTAATTGGCATATAGTGTACTAGTATTTTTTTTCATGACTTATTGCGTTGTATGTAGCAATGAGAAAGCTTAAATAGATTTTGTAATTATTTGTACCTGCTTCTTTGTCATCTATTCGGATTTTTTCTTCTTCGGCAACTAGCTCTTCTAAATCCTTTTTCTTCTTCTTCTTTTTCTTTGCTAAAGAAAAGTCCATGTCTAAGTCAAATTCCTGAAAATATTTTGATGTTTTGAATTGATGCGCAGAAAGTTATATATATTTTATTTTAAATTATTACCTCAATGTTTTCTTCAGTGGTCTCATTGGGAGCTGAAGATTTGTTGTTAGTCCCATCAGGAAGAGCATGTTCAAGATCTGTTAGGTTAAAAGTCGCCTTCTTCTTCTTTTTCTTCTTCGTTCCAAAAGATTCCAAGTCTAAACTCTCTGCTCGGAAAATTATTTGTTAGAGTTTCTGTTTAAAAGAAAATAAGAAAAAAGTAATGTTTTCTGGTATTACCATCCTGCTCGACTTCGTTTTCAGGGCGAGAGGGCTCCTGATTCTCCTTATCCGGGGCGGTCTCATTCTTCTCCCCCGACTCGGCCGGGGCGCCGTCCGTCAGGACGGAGTTGTCGAAGGCCTTCTTCTTCTTCTTTTTCTTCTTCAAGTTGGGATCGAAAATCTAAAACATAAAACTGCACTCAGTTCGCTCGTCTGGCCCGAATCCCATGTCCAATCTGCTAACACTCCTTTTGACCCACATGTCAAATCCCAAACCTTCTTAACTCAACCCATGTGGCTTCTTTGAAGTGGTCTTTAAAAAAAAATCATCTCGGCCCACTCACCTCGTCTTCCGCCATCACAAAACTTGTATTTCACTCTCTTATAAATCAATATAAACGATTTATAAACATTAAATAAACACTTTCGAACACGAAAACCTATCAATCGCCAAAACGGTACCAGGAATATTGCATCAGCCGAATAACCAACCTAGGAATTTTCAGTGTTGACCCTTTTGCGAGAAAGGAAAGCTGACTAAAAAAAAAAACTCAAAAACAAACGACTCGTTTATAAAATGAAATCCGTATTTTTTAAATTCAAACGAAAAAAACAAAGAAAAAAGTAAATAAAAATTAACTATTTTAAACTGATCAGTCGTCAAAACCATTTGCAACTATGTTTTAGCAAAACATTATAAACAAAAACAGAATAAAACAGTATTTTCACTTTATTTTAAATGAGCAACTTTTGTTTAGTACTTATCAATCATAATATAAAAAATATAAAATATAAAAATATAACAATTTGGAATATTTGGAGGGGGATCCGTTTTGAAACCTGGGAACCACCTGATTACGGTCCCATCAGTGGAGGTTATCATCCTAATTTCCCATTTATGTTTTGTTTTATTTACACACACACAAAAATGTTTTATTTAAATATTTTGCCGAAAACACCAAGGTATTTTTCATAATATTTTACAATATTAAAACTTTTTAAATTAAGAAACTCAATCGAAAAACACAGGAAATGGAAATATAGAAAATAAAAAGTATTTTTTCTTTCAATTTATGCTTTAGTGAAAAAAAAGGTATATGGTATTGTTTAGGCGATTTTAACAGTTTATATTAATAGTTATTATTAAATTATATTAAATCCACCTCTGGGGAAAGTTCAGTGTAAAACTGATCTGTCTGGATGTCAAAAACAAATCAAACAATCCAGGCCTCTTGTACATTTATTAGTTTATACTCGACCACTAGTAACAATAAGATTATGTAAGTCGTTGATATCAGAGTATTTTAAAATGTTGTTTATTTTTTAAAAGACAATCAAACTAAAAGTGAGTCAGACAAAACTGCTCTATACCCAGAAATGTATATTTATCCAAGATAAGGAAGATTCTTCAACTTAAATCATTGCACAGTATTTTATGAAGTGCTCTCACGACTAAATAATATGAAACTTAGTAACATATGTTTTCCAAGAAAGTCAAACTCACCATACTTCGCCTTAAAATATATATTTTGTTCATGATAATGACTTTACATATAATGATGGATATAAACAGTAAAGTGTAGCTTACCATTATATACAAAGATTATACAAAGATTATACAAAGAATTATACAATACATATATACTGACAATATACAAAGAAATTCAGCATGAAGTTCTTTCCAACTGAATAATATAAAACTTAATATTTTATAAGTATGTCAAACAAAATAACTCAAATTTAGATTCTTCTGTAACAACTTTATAAAGATATACACAGTATTGACGTTTATTTAAAAAAAAAAGTATTGTTTATAAACTTCAGGATTGACAAATGAATGATTCATTGCAAGTATTTATCCTATAAAGCTTATGAACATATGTTTTCCAAGAAAGTCAAACTGAACAGATGCAGGTTCTATGCATCAAAGTAACCATTTTCGTCATCTTAGCAACTTTACGGATAAAGATGGATATAAACGATATATTTAAAACTATAATAATAACTACACTGATGGACAAATTTAACGCACCACTCATTTAGTTTAAAATTAAATTTAAAAAACTATGATTTTTCTAAAACATAAAATATCTGTTTGTTTAAACTTTCTTGAAAATGTAACATTGTATACTTTCCTACTGAAAAACACAAAACATGGGAAACATGTTAATTAACATGTTTATTCAGTTTCAACCAACCAATAACGCAATTTTAACAATTTATTTTTGAAAAAACGTAACATTATTTATAACAAACATACCAAAAAAAACCATTATTTTGTTCTCATCAAAATTACCTATTGTCATTTAATAAACTTGAAATTTTTAACTTTGAACATTAATGCACAACCTATTTTTTCATAGTTGAATAGGTTTGCAATGTTGTGTAAAGTTGAAATCAAATTATTTTTAATCTGGCTATAAATAGGCTCGAATATTTTGTCGAAAGGCAAAAAAACAGTCGCTCTTAAAAACATTCCCTCATATATTAATTAAACTAAATCAACATAAAGAGAATTATACAATTCTAATTAATTAAAAATTTAAAGTAATTAAATGTCACTTATATAGTATTTTTAGGTATTAATTATTTTTAAAATTTTATTGAGTTGATTATAATTTTGTTTGAATTTCCTTTTTCTTAATGTTTATGAATTTATAATTTAAAAAAGTTTATATTTTAAAATGTCCATGCAGTGTATTTATTTGAATCAGGTTCAGTCTAATCAAGTTGTAATCATGCTCAAATCTTTTATTTATTTAGCTAATAAACTAGATTGTATTGACAGGTGGGAAGAGGATAAATAGTATACACTAATAAAAAAAAAATCAAAACCTTATGTCACTAGTTCAAATATTAGCACTAGTTGTTTTCTTTGTTCAGTGTTTATTTTTAAATATAAAACTTCCCGGTTCCCTTGAACTTTCTTTCGGTCCGGGCTGAAACCAGAAGCTTCCTATCAAAGCTGATTTTTTTATCAACTCACAATGTGCACAAATTAGTCATTATACATAATACATTTACAAATTTTAACTCTCAATTTAATATATCATAAATATTATATTCAATGTATTGCCTGTGAAAAATGTAAGCTAAGAATTTCATGATGCGTGAAGTATATTCATTTGGTTCTTGCTAATATAATTGCACAAATTGTATTACACAGTTGTATATCTAATACAAATAATATTTGTATTAGATATACAAATCTCAATATTCTAATCGTTTATTTATTTGAGTCTACAAATTGCATGTATGAAAAGGAGAAGATAAATAGTATGATACAGTAGTATCACTGAAGGAAATAGTTGATTATAAAAAAAAATAATAACCTTAAAAGTAAGAATATAATCAACTGAGTATTTGATGTCTAAGATATTGGAATTTTTATGTCACGTCAGTTGGATGTTTGAATTGAGATTTGACTTCTTTTTTTGTAGCTAAAGGGAAATTTTTTATTTCAATACCAAAAAGTGGCTTTCATGGATGTACACGTAATATATAACTAAATGCCAATCCTCGCAATAGTAAAATACAAAGTGGTCAATTGTGTTTAAAAGGTTATTTGTAAGTATTTCCACTTGTAGTATTCATATTTTTTCTTTGAGCTACTGAACCAATTTTTATCACACAGGTATGGCAAACGGCACAATGGGAAGCTTCGCACCGGAAATCGAGCAGATCATCAGCCAGCTTGAGCGTGGCACAATAGTAACAAGATTTTTTCCAAGGAAAAGACCCGAGAAAAAGATGCTCATGATCAGAAGAGAAACCAGGCAAATCGCCTGGGCCAGAAACTCCACAACAAAAGCCTATGATGGAACAAGTACTAACTATGTTTTTAAATTTTCATTCAATTGTATGTCTTAATTTTTTATTAATTTTTTTTCTAGTTGAAATGAGAGAAGTAAAACTAATCAGAATAGGAAAATGTTCCAAAGACTTTGATAGGTGGCCTGAAGATGCTAAAAGAATGGACCACCAAAGATGTTTTGTTGTTAGTTATGGATCTGAATTTAAATTAAAAACCCTTTCCATAGCAGGTAGTTAATAAATAAGAGTATTACATTGTAAATACAAAGAACAAAATTTAAATTTGTTTTTAACTTTATTATAGCTTTTTCTGAAAAAGAATGTGAAATTTGGGTTCGTGGTTTAAAATGTTTAGTAGATGATACAATTGCAGCACCATATCCACTCCAGGTAGAAAGATGGCTAAGAAAAGAATTTTACGCAATGGAAAATATAAGAGAAACGTCAGTAGTATTGTTTTATTAACAATAAATTAAACTTTATTTAAGCCAAATTTAATTTTGAAATGTATTTTTAGAGTAACATTAAAAGATATAAAAGCGTTTCTTCCAAGAGTAAATTGTAAAATAGGTACAAATAAACTAAGAGAAATATTTCAAGATGTAGACATCAGAAAACGTGAAGAGCTTACTTTCGATGACTTTGCTAAGCTCTATCATAAAATCATGTTTGATGAAACTGTAAGTGTTAAAATTCCGTTTAGTACTTGAATCAAAATCTCGCAAAGAAAATTAATTTATATTTGTATTTCAGACTTTTAAAGATATTTTAGAACAGTATTCTTCGGTTGTCAATGAGGAAAAGATTGTGACTGTTAAAGACTTAACTAGGTTTCTCGTGACAGAACAGGGTGACAGTGTCGACGGGAAAGAAGTATCAAAACACATGAGGGAGTATCTGCAAGACACTCTGAGAAATGTTCACGAACCATATTTCACTCAAGTTGAGGTATTAATGCTATATTATTTAAAACCCTGTCGAGTAAATGTCTATGAGTTTTAAAACTGATCAACTGTTTATAGTTTTTAGATTTTTTATTTTCAAAACAGAATGATCTTTGGAATTATCACCTGAACGAAGTTTCTGATGACATGACGAGACCATTGTCACATTATTGGATTGCTTCTTCTCATAATACGTAAGTACTTGTATTTAGGGGTGTAAAGGGGTCAGAAAATTAATAATATTTTCCCAAGACCTTTTACCTCAATAACTTAACAGTCAGCAAGACCTGCCTTGCTGTTACCTCTTCTGAGCAATATGCTCTCTCTTTTGTTTAAATATTTTCATACATTGGAAAATGTAAAACTGAGTGATAGACTATTTTCAGGCAAAAAATTTCAAGAGATATCACCATGAAATTGAGCTACTTGCTCTTTGGCAATTAACTATATTTAACAAAAATTTAACTTTTGAAACTGCCTCCTCCCCTTTATTTGCCTTAATTTTTAAACTTGTAGTTTAGTTGTTTCTTATCATTTTGGTATGTCTATCCTTGCTGTTTTGATCTGTCAGACCAAAACAGTGAGGATAGGTAGGCCCAAATGATTAGAAACAACCAAACTTCAGGTTTGGACGCTGTAGACTACACAAAGAAATCCTTCAATTTTTTATTTATGCTTTAGCTATTTAACAGGAGACCAGTTCTCCAGTGAGTCTTCCTGTGATGCATATATCAGATGTTTAAGAATGGGATGCAGATGCATTGAGCTTGACTGCTGGGATGGACCAGATGGGATGCCTATTGTATATCATGGCCACACTCTTACCACTAGAATAAAATTTATTGATGTAATTAAAACAATCAAAGAGCATGCTTTTGTTGTTTCTGAGTAAGTACATTAATATTTAATTTTATTATTTGTCCCTGCCTGATTTATAAAATGATCATGATAATTGTTAAAGACAAAATTAAGTTTAAATATTTATTTTCAGTTATCCTGTGATTCTGTCAATTGAAGATAATTGCTCATTACCACAACAACGTAACATGGCCATAGCAATGCAGGAAATATTTGGAAGCTTATTGTTGACCCATCCTGTAGAGAAGAATGAAACTGTTTTACCTTCACCCGAACAACTCAAGAGGAAAATATTGCTCAAACATAAAAAGTTACCTGAGGGTGTTGAGGATGATTCTATTTTATTTACAGTTGAAGATGGTAATGATGTTTACTTTGGATTTAAAAAATATAAATATAAACTCATTTTTAATATTTTTCCATGTGTACATTAGTACGAGATATGGATTTGAGAAACACGGTGAAAAACGGTGTGCTTTACCTAGAAGACCCTGTCGACAAAGTTTGGAATCCGCATTTTTTCGTTCTTACTCAGAACAAGCTGTTTTACACAGATACGTTTCACAGCAATGTTGGTGAAGATGGAGACGATGAAGGCGAAGCTGAAGGAAATGCTAGTCCTGTCGGACCCTTGAAACTCAGAGAGGTGAATATAGACAAGCTTCGCCTTTTGAAATTTTTATTTAAAAAAAAAATTCATTTTTAAGGGCATACCTCATTATGAACTTCATTTCGGGGAGACGTGGTTTCATGGCAAGCTCTCCGGTGGTAGGGCTGAGGCCGAAAGCTTGCTCAAATCTTACAAGCATCTTGGAGATGGTACTTTTCTAGTCAGGGAAAGTGAAACTTTTATTGGGGATTATTCTTTGTCATTTTGGTAAGTTAATTCTAATTTTATACAGAAATATTTATTTAATACTTTCAGTGCCTAAGATGTATATGTGCATCCAAGTGGTTCACCATTGTGGTCATGGGCATATGTGTACAGTCTAATTTTTTAGTCCAACTACTACACCACGTTTTTGATCATCAACATGCAAAAGGACATATAATTTTTCTTCCTCTTCTAACTTTTTTGTTGCCCAGGTTGTTTCATTTTTTAAAAGTAAATCAATAGATAATTTAAACAAAAAATACAAAAAGACACGAAAAAATTAAAAACTAAACTATAAATTGTCTTTTGAAAATTATACATATTTCAATTAATTATTCTTTTTATCTAATCTTGGTCGAGATGAAAAAGCTAATGTCACAAGCGGGATTCGAACCCACGAAGTCACTCAAGTGGTTAGAACAGCTGCATATTAAGCTTATGGTCATGGGTTCAACTCCCGCTCGTGACACTAGCCTTTTCACCTCAACCAAGACCTTAGATAAAAAGAATAATTTATTGAAATAATTATTATGGTCAATTATGACCCCTAAACATATTTGATTACTATACATATTTATAATGCTAAACTATAAAAAACTAAACAACACTAGAATAAACTAAATATTATAGAATGTTTGGTATTTAAAACAAATATTGAAAAAAGGGGAAAAATCACAGAGATAAAATGAAAGCTAATTGAAAACCAAAAGCAGTCTTAATGTACAAGAAAACTCAGTAGAGACAGATTTACATCCCCACTAGCTAGCCAGGTGAAACTCCAGAAAAATTGGGGCACAAATTAGTAAGGTTGGCTAAAATGTTAACAAATGAAAAAATAAACATGATTTTGTTTTTCTGTCTATGTGTAAAAGCATCAACATTTATTAAAAAATAAATGTAAGTAGATGGTCCTTTGTTTACAAATAGTAACCAAATTTTTTTTTGGCAGTACCTCAAAGTCCATAGTCAGTATTGGATGCTCCTCCTAACACAAAAAAGTTCATAACGATATTTTTTAATTTATTGCATTTTTGGGGGGTTTATTTATTTTTTAAAATTTATTCATATTTTATCCCTTGCAATGTATAAGTAAATTTCACCCAAATACGAGTGACATTTTTTTCAGATGTAAAGGAAAACTGAACAAATTACTGTACAGTAAGCCCTCATTATCCACGGGGTTAAATTCCTACATGGCCTGTGTATAACATAAACTATGGATATACATACATATGTATAATTTATACATATATATATTTTTTTTAAAGAAATTGCAACTTCCAAAAGTTTGGACCTGAAACTGAAACGTCATTATTTTTTTCCAACAAGCTTGAAAATACTTGGCTTTATTTCATCTATCAATTCTTTTATTAGCCATATTTCTTCTTTTTTTTATTAAACTTCTCAAGAACTCATTTTTATTTTTGTTATTTTCCACAAATATAGAAAAAATGGATTTTTTTATTTTCAATATAATAAACAAGCAGATGAAGGATTACTGTATTTATTTTTACAAATTATCATAATTAGGAAAATTCAATTAAATTTTTTTTGCATTTGAAATAGGAAAATTTTTAAAACTTGCAAGGTTCCGTAGAATCTTAACAGGGACCCAGCTTTTGAATTTGGTGCCAATACCCTCAGATTAAAGATGAAAAACCTCACAATCTGATTTCACACCATGGTGGCCGAGTAATTAATGCATCTGCGGTTCTGTGTTTGAATCCTGGCATAGTCTTTTTAATTGAAAATAGTATTGAAAAATGGTTTGACCTCTCGTCCATGACACCCACTGTGTGGCCGGATGTTAAGCCATCCTGTTGAATAGGAATTAGGGCCTAGATGCATAAACTTAAAAATTACAAGCTCTTTTATTAAATTGCTACCAAAGCGTTAAAGGGTTTCAGTACAAAAATATAAGTGTAACAATCATTGTAAACTTATTTATTATACAAAGTAATATAAAACAGCAAGTCTTATTTTATGGGACATTTTAATATATTTCTTGAGGTACTGAATTGCCGAAAAGATATTTCCAAGAAGGTGGTTGAACAATATTTTTTCTATCGGGCAAAACGTTGAGGCATTCATCAGTGTGAATTGTGAGAGTAAGGCTGTCCTGAATGTTATCCCCTTCAGAACAGAAATAAAGCAGTGCCACACACGGCAATCCTGATTGTGTACATATGTTGTAAAAAGTTCTTGTAAAGCCGGCTCCGGGCAACCTCGGGCAGGAGTAGTCTTGGCCCATTTCGCTTCCTTTTATCCTCGTCCACTCGAGTCGGCCCAAATTGAAACTCTCCGCCCCCTTGACGTTACTAAGGTATCTGAAAGTGCCGACACGAAGCTCCGAGTCATCCCGCTGATGCGCATACATCCCTGACAGTAAGACGACCCGATCAACTTTGAAAGCTTTGAGAGAGTCGACGATCTGCGTGCAGTAATCGACAAACTGGCTTCTGTGCAGTGGCGATCTAAGCTGCATCAACAAAAGCTTGTTTTTCTTGCAGAGGTAGACGTCATTTGACGAGCAGAGTTTGTGCGATGATTCGTTGTACGGATCCGCCCCGACAAACGGCAGTACTCCTTTATGCCATATCATTCCGACGTACTCGGCTTTTAAGCTGGAAATAATAAGATCCAAAGACAACTGACCAACATTACCGACAGAAGGACTGGCTATTACGGCGGTAAATCCCTCAAAATCGGTCCTTTCGAAGTGTTTAAACATTTTCTTTTTTCCCTTTGAGAAATAAACGAAGTCCAAGTGTTAAGAGATTTATTAAAAACTCATAATCATCGTCTCACAGAATAACCTGAAGGTTACTGTACTTATATTATAACCTACGAGATGCTTTGGTGTGCCAGACTTGCCTGACACCTTGTGGATATGTCAAGCAATTTATGTAATGGTAAATTATAAAATATTTTTCAAAAAATCGTTTTATTTTGAAAATAAAACAGTTATTATTAAAATAATGATTAAATTTGGAATTATTAAATTAATAAAATTCTTAAAATTCCTTTTTCCTCTGTTTTCAACTACGACTAAACTCTTGAAATGTTCATTTATGTTTAGTGGCCCAATTGACCAAATTACTTATTTCAATTAAGTATTATTTTTATGTAAGGTCTTGGTTGAGATGAAAAAGTTAGTATCATGAGCAGGATTCGAACCCACAACCTTCAGCTGGGTTTGAATTTTTTTCGTGACACTAACGTTTTCAACTCAACCAAGACCTTACATAAAACGAATAATTGGTTGAAATCTTGAAATATTATTTTTGGTTTGTTTTTTCCAGGTGGAAATGTAAAGTCAACCATTGTAGGATAAGGTCGAAGCAGGAACTTGGGCAGACGAAGTACATGCTAATCGACAACGCATGTTTCGACAGTTTGTACAGTCTTATAACGCATTACCGTTCACACCCATTAAAAAGCCAGGTAATGATCTTTCATCTTGTTTGTTTATGATGTTTAAACAATAATGTATCTTTTTTAACAGGAATTTGTTATAACTCTCACTGAGCCTGTGCCGCAGCCGAATAAGCACGAAGGTAAAGAATGGTACCACCCCAACATTTCCAGACTCGATGCAGAAAATCTTCTTAAACGAGTGCCGTATGAAGGCGCTTTTCTTATAAGACCTTTGGAGAAAGTTCCAAATCCAACTGCCTACGTACTTTCATTCAGGTACGTTGTTATGTTAAAATATAAAATGTTCCATGTGCCATTTGATTAATTAATAATATTTTTTGTTTCTACAGGACAGATAAAAACATAAAACACTGTAAAATAATGATGGAAGGCAGGCTGTACACCATAGGGACATATCAGTTTGAAAGTTTAGTTGAACTCGTCTCTTATTACGAAAAACATCTATTATATGGGAAAATCAAATTAAGATGCCCAGTTGGGGAGGATAGTGGCCATAGGTTACCATTGGTGAGTGTTTCTTTGATATACAAATGATTCGTCTGTAAGTGATGTCCACATATATCACATGTGAACTCAAGAACACCTGGTGAAACAAACCTTTTTCACTACTGTGCATATGGAAGTCACTTCTGAGAAACTGCTGAAACCAGCCTCTTGCCACTTCTGTGCAGAGGTCACTTCCAAGCAGCTGTTGAAACAAACCTGAAGATTGGCCAGGAGGTTTTGGCCATTGAATCTATATTATTCAATTGTATTCACAATGACAACTACACATCTAACATAAACATCAAACTAAACTTGATTAAAGTAAAAACGTAAAGTAATTTCTGTCACATAAACGAGCTTAATTTCCAACTAGCCATTGTGTGTTGTGGACAAGGGATTAAGCCACTTTTTAAAATTATTCTCAGTGCAAATTCTCTTGGCTTTGACAGGATTCGAACCCAGAACTGCTAGCATAGCAAATATGAGAGTCAGATGACCTACTGACTTGGCCACTGCAGTCACTACTAATATCCTGAATTACTTGTTAATAAAAACATTTTTGTTAAAAAATCATTCAAACATTTGAATTTAACTAATACAAAAATAGGCCGCAATTTCATCTCATCAAATTCGTGACATTACAAGTCATTCTTATAATTTGTCAGAGAGGTGTCCTTCAAATATCCATGGTGCATTGTCAGAGGATTATAAACTAGGAAAGGAAAGATGTCATTTTCTTTATCATTTTTCCAAGTGCAAAAAAAATGCAATAACTTGTTGAGTTAAAAGCCCTGGCAATGTTCGTGTCATGTGCATTATTAAAAATACAATCAGTTATGTTTTAAATTTGAAGTAGTAGACCCACTGATGCTTCTTCTGTTTTTTCTTGGAGACCAAATTCTAAAAAATGGTGATTTAAGAAATCTACATGTGCAACAACGGTGATAGCATGACAGTGATGACATGAAACCTGAAAACATAGACATAGATCTCTTTCCAATCTGACAATGACCATTTAAATTCTTGAAATCTAGAAACTGCCAAAAACAGTTTGTGAGTAGAACTATCCTTTTCAACAATTACAGTATAGACATTTTGTGATTTAATTTTCATTTATGACTGATACAATCCTGTAGGTTGCAAAAATAATGTGTATATAATTAAATTTCTTGTGAGACATGAAATTATATTTTATTTTATATTTCGATTGAAAACCTCAGTACAAAAATTGAGCAATGTTAAACAAATTGTTTAAGAAAATTCAAATCAAGCAAAACTCCCAGTGTTTCTTTAAAAAGCAGCCATTAGGCCAGATATAACAATATTCACTGCATTCTCGGCATTACAAGGAATGCGAGTCCAGTTGTGTATACTGGATAAATATGAGCTATGTTTGTTTGTTGTTGGTTTGTTGCTTGTGAGGGGTAGTTTTGTATACTTTGCGTATGTTGTTTCGCTTGGGAAAATTTTTTTTCATTCTCATCTTCCTTTTTCAACTGATGTGGTCGCTGTTGGACCGATGGATTTTTCAATGTGGCATAATCATGACTGTTCATATTCATATTGAAAGGAAGTAGAAACAGTTTACTTTGGTAATAAGATGGTGGCAATATTTGTTGAAGTATGTTTTTAGTAGGATATGCAGTTAATGCGTGAGATTGTTCTTGTGGTTTGTATCTTACAGGATTTCCTTGGGAAAAATATTGTTTATGGCTTTGCGGATTGTTGTGTTGATAACGTTCGTAAGGTACTCCCATGTTGATAGCAGTAGATTCTGGCATTTCTGCCCTTATAACTTGTTCCATTTCAACCTGGACTTTGTCTTCATCTGGTTTTAGATGCGCTCTTCCTTCCTCATCTGGTTTTTGCTTACAAATAACTTCACAGAGGTGTTCTTTATAATCATTCGATTCTTTGCTTAATTTTAAATCTTCATGGTTCGTTTCATCAGTAAGGACAGTTTCATTAACATCTGCTACATTCATTGTCGTCGCTACTTCGTTAAATGCCACGTCTTTGGTTGTTTCCTCACTGCCAACTGTCTGTTCAGTAGTCGTCTGTAAAATTTCAGCATTAACGACTTCTAAAGTTTTTTCGCTGTCGATATGTCTAGTTTCTTCGATATTTTTATAAGACGGCAATACTGTTGGCTTTGTTGGAAATAATTGACTTAGGGGTGGGACAACTTTTATTTCAAGCTGCGGGAATCCCGTCCTTTTTTGATATCTCGGTATACTCCTCATTAATTCTGGATAGGGTTGTGGGTTGTAATCACTGCTTAACATCTGAACACCACCAGGTTGTACCTAAAAAATAAACAGTATCAATAAATAGTATCAGCCGATTTGCAAGTTTTTTATTTCACTGTTTTAATATATAAATGTGTTTATATAAAATTAGAAAAAAATAAATTTGACTGAACCTGAACATGGGCATTGAAGCCTGTATTCTTGTCTGCATGATATGTCACTACTCGTAAGTCACCATTTGGTTCTCCAACTGTGTAACTTCCTCTGACTGTATCACCGATACGAGACTCTTCCTGAGTTTTATAATCTCCTGTGTTAACGTCTCTCACATAATAGCTGTACTGATATCCAGGGTTCTACATAAAGACAAATTGTCAATGTGATTTATTTGGGTCTTTATATGCCATTAAAAATTAAATATAATATTCTTTCAAAAATTTGCAAAAAAAAATTTTTTATTAAAAACATAACACAACATACAAGAATGGCACAATTACACAGAAAACAAACACTTTGAGCCCTGAAGATGATCTCAATAAAGATCGAAACGTTGGCACGATAAAGAAAATATTTTTCTGAAACCTACGTCACACCAGACAACATCTCACGATTTCCGAATAATCATTAAAAACACAGTTGTTATACTGAATAAAAATCAGAAATAATATTACAATTGTTTATTTTTTATCGCTTGTCTTTTTAAAACTGTGGAGTATTTATTAGCTGTAACTTACATTATTATTAGCAAAAGCCCTCGACAACTGCAGGAACAGTATTGCCCAACACACCAACATCCTATTGACATAAAATAAAATTATAACATGATAATTATAGCACAATATGCAATATAGCTCAAAATATGAGCAATCAAACTCAATAGCAAAGTACAACTTGGCCTTTCAAGCAGAAATACATGCTATCAATGCTTGCACCATAGAAAATCATAAAAGAGGTTACACTGACAAAAATAATCTTCAAAAATCAAGCAGCCCTGAAAACATTAGTGTGTAAAAAATTCACATCCAAAAAAGTTGGTGAATGTATTGAAAATCTCCAAAATCTGGGAAAACTTAAACTAAATCTTGAGTGTGATGGCATAGGAAAATTCTGGGTAACAAGCATACAAACTGGCCAGAGGAGGATCTGTAAGACCAGAGGCCCACAACCTATAATTGTCATAATAATCTCCATCTAAGAATGGGTCTACAAACAACAAAACGAGAAATGAAACAAACTGCAGAGGCGCTAGACATAGTAAGCTCATGATTAAAGAACCCTTACCAAAACTGGCAAACATATTACTATAGTTAGGTAAAAATCAGGGGAGAATTAGGGATAGATATATATACTGGTCACTGATGTTTGAGAAAACACCTAACATGGGTATACTCGATGATAACCCCAAGTTATGCAATGAGGAAGAAGAAGAAACTCAATAGAGACATAGTCTACGGTACCAAGATGACCCGGGAAAAATAATTGCAGTAATGACAGCCATTGACCTACTACTTCTTAAAAGAAGGATTGGGTTAATTGAACTGAGTTATTAGGAAAAGTACAATAAACTAAAAAGCTGTAGTGCTTGGGGAATAGTAAACGTATCATCATCATCATTGGGCAAATATCAATAGGTACAATAAGCCAAAAAAGGGGCGTCGGTGGCCGCGACGGTTAAGACGTTGTCACGGCGCTCATCATTGTAAAGTAAAGGTCCCGGGTTCGAATCCAGTGGTCCTGCATTCATACCCGACATACAAATGTTTTTTTGGTTTTTTTTTCAAAAACACCGACTCCCCCGAGGGTTGATATGACCTCTGCTGTTGCGAACTCTGGTAAAAAAATAAATAATCCAAAAGGCTGTAGTACTTGGCCCACTCCCTATTATGTTCATCAATCCATCGCGAAAACCTAACCCTAACTAACCCAACCCGTCCTTAACAGACGTAGTGCTTTGGAATAATAGCGAGACTTCGCGGACCAGGCAAGACTGTGGGCAAACAGATTGTAAATATTTCGTCCATCAGTAGGCCACCAATTTGAAATTGCCCGTGTCAAGTTTGTCGGCGATCAGGTTTCAACTGAAGATGTCATCGAGATGTATGTCGGATTAACAGCGAGAATAGGAGGACCCAAACTAAAACAAGTTCATCTGAAACGGTGTACTGTCAACATTTTGAATATTTAGCATCCATGACACCTTGGCTTAACGTAAATTTTCGATAGAAATAGATGGATTTTGTCTCGTTAGAAAAAGATCCAAGTATGAAGCCCGATTCGGTTTTTTTGCAGAATATAATTTTTAACATTGCAAGCTAAAATAAAACAAAAATTAAAAAGTATGAGGTCTAGTCTTTAAATAAACCAGTACGACACTAAACAAAATTTTGCAAAGGAAAAAATAAATAAAAATATATTTAAGAAGCTATTGGCCGTGATGCCTTAGGTACGCTAAAATACAACACATACTTCAAGAATTTTATTATATTACATATTTGAAAATTAATTTAATCCATATTTGCTTAGTGGTCATTGACCATATCAATTATTATTCCAGTTAATTATTCTTTTTATCTAAGATTTTTTGGTTGAGATGAAAAACCTTAGATAAAAAGAATAATTAATTGGAATTAATATTGATGCAGAAATCGTCTTAAGACAAAGATAATCCAAACACCACAGTCTTGGAATTTTATACAATAAAAAATGTATATACAGATTACAACGGCGAGTGTAAAAAATTTGGCGTGATAAATCAAAAACTGATATATTTTATTCTGATGGCTTGGGCTAGTATTCTCCAAGTATTCAACAGGAAGCTCTACTGGAGCAAATATAATACAACAAATTCGGTTAGGAAACTTTTACGGAATTCGATGAATCCTGAATAAAATTTAAGGACAGTTAGATAAAATATTGATGAAGTCGTTTTCAGGGGCGTCGGTGGCCTCAACGGTTTAGGCGGTGACACGGCGCTCATCACTGTAAGGTAAAGGTCCCGGGTTCGAATCCAGCGGCCCTGCATTGGAACCCGACATACTTCCAAATGGGCGTTTTTTGTTTTGTTTTTTTCAAAAACATTGGCACCCCGAGGGTTGATATAATCTCTGGTTGCGAACCCTCGTTAAAAAAAAAGTACATTCGAGAAACATGCAAGCGAGTTGATTCAAAAGTTGTGGAAATTCTTCGTGATATTCGTTTTATTGGAAGTTGTAAGCAGAATTCCACTGTTTCAATATCCGCCACAAAAAGACTGGTATGTGCTGAAAATACATCGTGATATTCTTTCTTTGATATTTCCAAGGGTAGTATTCCCATTTTTTCCATATCCTCAAAACCTGAAAATATACTAGTTGATATTCTAGTGATTACAATATCGTAACTCGTAAGCTCGAGAATTCCTCCTGCCAGATTGTAAAGACAGGAAACAGAGAAATTCCTCATAGTTCCTCACTGAAGATGGCCTGGAACCCGCTTGAAATCTCAATGGGAGTAAATTTCACTGACCAGAGAGGTCAAATGTCAAAAGTTTATCCATTCTTTCACAGACTCGCAGGTCAACAACGACCACCAACTTTATTTTTTCTTGATTTCCTGCGTTTCCTCTTAAGACATGAGCAGAATCCCACCGTTTCCAGATCTTCATGACATCAGTGTTGTACATGTACGAATATGTGCGATATTCTTGTTGCTATACGATTGTAAGCACAGGAATTCCTCCTTTTCCAGATTCTAAAGACAGGAAACATTGATAGTCCTCATAGTTCATTACTGAAGATGGCGTGAAACGTTTAAATGAAATCTAAGCCTGCAACATTAAACAGATCCACTAAAGAGATCAAGTTTCGATCAATTTGACACGATCTGACCGACTCGCAGCGATAATGGTTGATATTCCTTTACTTATAAACTGGTAGGCTTCGAAATTTTTACTTTTACACATATTGAAGGCCCGAAACCGAGCTTTTGTTGTTTTGCACATTAGAGAAATCTTCAAGCTTGTTGGAAATCAAACTTTATGAAAATTCCTTCGTGATATTCGTTTCCTTATGTTGTAGGCAGCATACTTCCTTTTCCATATCCTCATTCCACGAAAAGTCTGACTTATTNTCTCAATAAAGATCGAAACGTTGGCACGATAAAGAAAATGTTTTTCTGAAACCTACATCACACCAGACCGCATCTCACGATTTCTAAATAATCATCGACAAACGGTCACTAATCTCACCCGTTTTATTTTAAGTTGTAAGAAGAGACCCACCGTCATCAAAGGATCATAGAGATTTTGTTGTTGTTAGCTCAAAAGTTCCAAATTTACCAGATAATAAAGACAGGAAACAGTGCAATTTGTTTCACTTCTTGTACTTATGAGATTGTTAGCTCAAGAATCCCACATTTTTCCGGTCATCACATCATGAAAACCAAATTTTATTGTTCTTGTTTGTAAGTTCTTGTATTTAAATAATTAATTATAAGCGTCAGAATTCTGCCCGTTTTTCAGTTCGTCACACAATGAACTTTGTTGATATTGTACTACTTAAAAAATTGTAAGCTCAATAATTTCTCCTTTTCAAGAATTGCTTTAAAAGCTTTCTACTTACTGATTTTCATCTTTTTTAATTTTTAATTGACTTACCACATTGGTAAATAAAAAGAAAGAAAGGTAAATAAACCATGTTATTCGTTACTTCAATGATTCTTGTACTATATGTATTAAATTCTAGTCAAAGATTGTACTTTTTCACGTTGCTATGACGAGAAAAAGTCATATTGGTCGATATTCTTGGACCTATAAGAAAGAAGAAACTTATGAATTTCTCCTTTTCCAGATCATCGTGGCATAAAAATTACTAATTTTTATATTCTTGTACTTAAGAGATTGTAAGCATAAAATTCCTATATTCTTTGTGCTGAAGACATGAAAAAGTTATGTTGATTGATATTCTTTTACTAATATAATTGTAGGCTCCAAAATTCACAATTATAAGCCCTGAATTTCCCCTTTCTCAGATTAAAAGACGAATAAAAAAAAGTTATTTTGGTTGAGGTTCTTGTACTTATAAAAAATAAAATTTAGGCTTCGAAATTCCTATCTTTCCACATGCTAAAGACGGAAAAAGTAAGATTTGTTGTCATTTTAACATCGACTCGTTAAAAAAAAAGTACATTCGAGAAACATGCAAGCGAGTTGATTCAAAAGTTGTGGAAATTCTTCGTGATATTCGTTTTATTGGAAGTTGTAAGCAGAATTCCACTGTTTCAATATCCGCCACAAAAAGACTGGTATGTGCTGAAAATACATCGTGATATTCTTTCTTTGATATTTCCAAGGGTAGTATTCCCATTTTTTCCATATCCTCAAAACCTGAAAATATACTAGTTGATATTCTAGTGATTACAATATCGTAACTCGTAAGCTCGAGAATTCCTCCTGCCAGATTGTAAAGACAGGAAACAGAGAAATTCCTCATAGTTCCTCACTGAAGATGGCCTGGAACCCGCTTGAAATCTCAATGGGAGTAAATTTCACTGACCAGAGAGGTCAAATGTCAAAAGTTTATCCATTCTTTCACAGACTCGCAGGTCAACAACGACCACCAACTTTATTTTTTCTTGATTTCCTGCGTTTCCTCTTAAGACATGAGCAGAATCCCACCGTTTCCAGATCTTCATGACATCAGTGTTGTACATGTACGAATATGTGCGATATTCTTGTTGCTATACGATTGTAAGCACAGGAATTCCTCCTTTTCCAGATTCTAAAGACAGGAAACATTGATAGTCCTCATAGTTCATTA